ATACTACAACATTGGTTGGCTCGGTTTGTCTCTAGTATCCGGCTTCGAGTCCCTAGCGCTCCCACTGCAGCCCCCGAGCACCGCTACTGCAACTCTTCCCGTCTAGCACCTGTGGCGCGAACCTGTGCTCCGTCCCTCCCCCTGCAACTCTGCAAACATGTTGTTTGTTCGTGGCCTAGTGGCAGGCGGGCCTGGCCAGGGTACGCACGTTCTGGGGAGACACCAAACCGGAACTGTTGATCCCTGCCCTGCAAGCCTCATCACCTGGCATGTGCGTGTCGCCCCAATACTGGCCTTCGTCAGTCATCGCACCGAGATGGATCGCTATGTGTTCCTATCTGGTGTCCTTCCAATGGACGAGGGAGCTTCGCGCAGTGGGCAACTCTCCAAACTGCGCACGCACTATGCGCTAGAAAAGCCATTTCCAGAGTCCTTGCTGGATGATTGCGTAACGACCGGCAGCAAAGCCAATGAGGCTTACACTCGGCAGAAACCTGGAGATACGCAGAATCTCTTCGTCACGTCATCAAGTTAGGGACTCCGACTTTGGACAGAATTCACGATCTGCAACAGTTGTGACGGGTCGGCATCCTTCGCGTCGCCGAGTCGAGTGCCCCGTATCACCGGAGATCACCGCTGCCACTCGAGGGGGTTGTCGACCCCAATCCAGCACCGGCGACCGGGGAGCTTCACCACCCCCCTCCTCACCGGCAATTCGGATCACCCAACTGTAACCGGGACAAAAGATACCCTCATTTGCCCACCCTTGGCTTGGAACAAAAACCTGCCCTTGGCTAACCTGAACGACCCGCAACACGGCCCACAAATTGGCCGTCGAGGAATCTTAATCACTTTCTTCGCATGCCAATGGGCTCACGGTGGCACAGTCTCGTACTGTCAGGGCCTCCGTTGCTTGGGGATGGCAAGCCTCGACGCTCCCTATTTCGTCTTCCCATGGTCTCGAGAGAGCCGATGCGTCGATGCGTAGACGAACCAATGCTATGCGCACCTTGTTATGACTTCATACAGCATGTCCCATGGTTAGACTCGCCCCTGAGTATCTGTGGGTGGCGTGTGCAATGCAAGAAGCCACCTGCATGCACAATCACGTACACGAGCCATCACACATACACACTATCGAAGCGATGTCGGAAACCCTGCAGTGGTTTTTTTTATTTTAATCTTTTGGTTTTCTTTCACCATCAAAAGAGCCATGGTATAAAGGCATTTGGCATTTCCTATCTGCTGGACAGACCCACCCGTGGATGGCCCACACCGCGCATCCGGATGTCGTCCGGCCGTCCACCGTGACCAGGACCCCGGAGGGCGTGATGAAATGAAAGTTTCCCGACTCGCTGGCTGCACAGAAACCTTGCACAAGGGCTTCGAGGGCCGGCTGGGCCTACGATCAGATCAACCTTTTCAGCACCCTGTTGCTCATTGCCCTACCCCCTCCCTCTCGAGAAAAAATCAATGACAGCAGCCGGTTGTCTCATTTACACATTCCACCAATGGATCGTGGGGAATGAAGCTCAGCGGTGTCAATTGGCTCAACTGCCAGGCATTCGCTCCCGCATGCCTGCCTTGCGCGGTGCAGTGGGGTTCTCACATTACCTACGTCCATTGTTTTTCTCGACGGATCATAATATGCGTCCCGTCCACGACAAAAGGCGGCAGCGCTGAGTCCCTGGCGTCGAAGAACGGCTTTTTCGGATTGAAGACTAACACCGAATTATACCCGATGCACAACCAATGCCCGCAACGTACTCATCGTACCTAAATAAGTAGCGCAATTGCGGAAGCGCGGAGCTCCATCCAACCCTGTCGGTCGTTGGATGGATGAGCCAAGGGCACAACCGCAAAGTCCAGACGTCCAGCTCTTGCGCGCAACTCCTCTCCTCCCGAGACTTTGTCGTGATTAGCGCCTCAGTGCCTCGTCTTGAACTCATGTAGTTGCGCTCGCCTCCAAATAACCCCAACAACAAGCCAGCAGACCTGCTTAGTACGAACGCCTGCGAATCGTCATCAGGCCCGTTTTCTGACCCAGATTAAGTTCAGTCGATCAAGAGGTTAACCCCCCCCCCAAAACAGCATGATCGTTGGTTATCTTTGGACGGGACCCGCGGGTAAGCTCCCTGCCCCTAAAAGGCGAATGCGAGACAGCGTGATCAGCCTCTTCCTGCAGACAGTGTTTGCCTCTCCAAATTGACAGACTATTTGCGGCCTGCCACGACCCCCTTGACACGTACCAGCCCTAGGAGACGAGATGTGTACACTCGGCTGCATTTCTTACCTAGATCGACGATACCGGGAAACCGGAGCAAGTGCATTTGTTAGACAAGGTATAATCAGTTCTCACCTCGCTCATGCGATAAAAACCTAACACGAAGCAAACAGGGCCGATTGTGGCGTTTGGGAATCCACGAACACAGCTCGAGGTTCTCCGGCCAAGTCCCCATCGTTGGTTCCTGGCTCCCGTTCCCGCTACTGCCTCATGATGGACTTAGCGCCAGATAGTTGATTGTGGGTGTGCCTTCTTGGCGCGCAAACCAAGGCGCGGCGTTCATCGTTGATTCCGGCCGTGATCATAAACGCAATGCCTGCATGGGAAGCATCAAGCTGTAGCAGCTTGAATGGCCTTGTTGGTCATGGTATTTACAGCCGACAAAAATAGACAAGCCATAGAACCAACCGAGGAGCTGGTGCACAGGACCTCGAATCGAACTTCCATGGCATAGGTCAGCGGTCCAGCTGTCCGTCTCCGTAGCTCCGAATTAGCACCCAGATCATGACGGCTTACCTAGCATTCAGATTCGTGGTCTCTTACGAACATATCCTCAACGAAAGCAGTTCCCAGTCGTCCAGGGGCAGTCTCTTAGCAACACAACTGCAAACTCCAAGCCGGCGTACTCTTAGTGCTCGGCGGGGCTCGGCGTGCTTCCCCGGCACGGCTGGACCCTGGATAGCGGGCGAACCTCTCCGTCCATTCTCCACTCCACCATCCAATCTCTAACAACCACTTTGACGCCGTCTCATGTTAGCAACGCATCGCGTCATGTTCCACAAGTTGGCCGAACTCTGTTCTTCGACAGGGCTTTCCAAAAGCTGACAACCTTCGCGACCATTGTGTGTTCCAAGCACAACAACGGAGGCTTCTCGGTTCACAGCTGCGTCATCGCCGGGGTCCCAACCGGAAGTTACTCGACACACTATGAAGATCGAACAATCGCGGAACCTCCTCAACCCACCATTGTTGCCCGCACACTCCGGTCATGCATAATGGGACTTGTCAGCCTTCTGAGTATCGAAGCCCTCCCCGTCTTAGAAATATGCTATGAGACATTGGTCACAAGTCCTATCTTTGGAGGGGGGGGTATACCATGATCGGCGGCAACTACCGCACCGCACAGAAGCCATTGAGGAGCTCACCTCACCAACTCACCAAGTTAGACATTATCATCCATCACCACCGGTTCTGCCAGCATTGTAGCGACAGCCCAAGGGCGCAAGCTCATCAAACTGGTACCGCCATGTTACTCAACATCCGGCAACTACTTCTAGGACTTGCACCTAGTCGTGTTGGCCTCCTGAAGATGGGAAATCTTTGCGAGGAGCTATGGCACCAAGAGAGCTTGATCTCAGCAGTTATTACTGATAGCCACGATCGCGCCTTGGCTTGGCTTTTGGCACCGATTTGGACACTTGTCGGAATTGCAAATGCCATGGGGAGCTACAAGGAAGAGCGCACAGTTAAGCCGCCACTAAAACCCCGGGAAGCTAGCCAGGAGCTTGAATTGAGGGCGGCCTCGGCTCCAACCCCAGAAGCACAAAAGTAGGTGGCTTCGTGGTTGCCAGTCACGATGTGTTTGGCGAATAATTGCAGCACAGCCGCTAAAACAGTCGCTCGCCGCTAGCTCACGACCGAGCGACAGCCATTGGGTCGGAGTATATACCGTGCGGCCAGAGCCCATTGCCCTATCAACGCCAGCAATGAGCGAGCGGGCTCAGGGTCCATCAGCCACATTGGCGCAATCAGATTCCTTCGTTCGAGATTCTGCCCTCCGTTGGGCTTAGATCGAGCTCATGTTACAGGTTTAGAGCCGAGTATGCGGCCGTCGCATGGAAATGAGACAGCCTCCTCAGCCGCGAAACCTGGGCGAGCATCGCCAGCAAGGCCAGAGCGCAGGCGCGAACACCCTGCACGCTTGCACAGCTATCGAGCTTCCAAACCCTAGTCCCTGCAGGTCATCTTCGCTGTCTTGGTCTAAGGAGAGATGGCAAGAAGCAATTCGGTCGGTTGATTGGCTGGCGGGCTGCCTCGAGGATCAGACTATCCATCTCCCGATTTGAGTATTGACAAGCTACCACCCTATGGAGAGGGGACCAATTGCACCCTTCGTCGGGCTTGAAATTGGCAGTCATGTCAGTTTGCCTGCGTAGGAAACGCCTCAGCCTCTCGGATGTCACATCTTTAGACTAGCTGGTTATTTCAGTCTTCTCCCTCAGTGGTGGGCAGAAAACACTAAAGCGCATACACATGAAGGACAACTGATCGACAAAGAAAATAAGGTCGAATCCCAGTTGGTGGACAGAGTAATCGTTCGTGCCCCTGGGGAAAGGCGTCTTTTCTTGCCTGCTCCGTGCGCTACCCCCTGTCCAGGCCTCTGACGCGCCAATCTCGACGACGATGATTGATGCTGGGGAAGACCCTGATTCATGAATCGCGTTGCTGCTAGGGTGATGGCATAGAGAAAGATAAAGAAAAAGAGAGACAGTCAGGTGCCCTTTCCCGAGGTCTCTCCGGAGCAGAAGATCGTTCCGCCAAAGTAATCACCGAAAACCCGGGGCCGATCATAAAATGGCCAATACCACGGATAGTCGGGAACCCGTGATGTAGTCAAGACGCGATCGGCAAGCTGGCACATGAGTGACATGAATGACATGATTAAATTAGGGTTGTATCGTCTCAGGTATCTATCCAATGGGGCCGACCCCATCAACTACTGCGGCGCATAGACAAACGCCAGCCTGTCAATCTCATCGCCGTCACGTCCCAAAAATCCTACAATCTGCCACCCCGCGGGCGCCGTGTGCGTCGCGCAGTCCGAGGTTTGCGTACCCGCCGCAAGCTTCCGGCTCGTGCTGGTCGTCGCCTCAATGTAGAAGTTGCGCGTCTGGCTGTCCTTCTGGCCCCAGCACAGCTTGGCGGAGGTCCAGAACTCGGAGGCGCCGAGCGCCAGCGTTGCCGCCGTGCCGCCCGTGCCACCGTGCGTGAAGCTGGTGCCGTCGGTCAGCGTGAGGGCGACGGCGTCGAGGCGGTTGGCGCCGTGGAATGTCAGCGTCGCGGCCTTGGGCTTGGTCTTGCTGGCCAGCGCGGGGAGGTCGGAGAACCAGTCGCCGTGCGGGCCGCCGGAGAAGTCGGACTGGCGGAGGGTGGAGGACAGGGACCAGGTGAAGTTTGCGGTGATGGGGTTGTGGTCCGAGAGGATGCTGCCGTTGGCCTGGAGGAACTTGCTGCTCTCGTAGTTGAAGTAGGTCGCCTCGAGGTTGACGACGGCGTTGCCGCGGTAGAAGGCCTTGTCGACCGTCTCGCAGTAGTTGGTCGTGCTCGGGTTCGAGCAGATGGTCTCGACGGTGGGGGCGACGCCCTTGCGCTCGATCTGGACCCAGACGTCCGTCATGCCGTTCTGGGTGCCGAACACCTCGATGTCGTCCGATGTGCGGGTGTAGCGGCTGTTGGTGTCGCCAAACACCAGCACGGCGTTGCCCACGCTCCAGACATCAATGTAGTCAGCGACCTGGTGCAGGTTGCTGTTACGCGCCGTCAGGTCGTCGGCCTCGGTGCCGGCGTCGGTGTGCAGGTTGTACACGTCAACGTAGACGCCCTCGGCAATGCGCACGCGCATGAAAGTGAAGCCCTTGGGCGTCAAGCAGTCGGCCCCCGAGGCATTGGAGCAGGTGGACCACTTGATGCGCTCGAAGTCGATCCAGTCATAGTTGGAGAGGGTATTGAGGCCGGAGCCAAAGGGTACGCCACCCGAGGTCGCGGTACGATAAGGGTGCGTATCTGTCTCGTAAATATAGGCGTGGTAGTTGAAGTCCTGTTTTTGGACCGTCAGTTGCTATTTTCTGCATGCGCAGTGGATATTCATGGCGATATAAGGTTCAGGTTGAAACAGGGACATCTGGGGGAGCTGGGTATGTGAAGCGTGGATGCTCCATGCGTTGGGGGACGGAACGGAGCAGCTGATGGCTTATGCGCGACTCTTATAGCTGCCAGCCACGCGGTGATCGGCAGTGCTGTCTGAAGTAGATTTCCCATAACTCACCTCTTGGACGTTGATGATGCCGTAGTTGTACTTGGCAAAATACGATCCCATGGTGCGGGAGTTTGTTGTCTTGTCTCCGGGCACTTCGTTGTTCTGGAGGATCTCGGGCAGGCCGGCGACGTTCATGGCGAGGATAGTAAGGTCGCCGCTCGTCTGGGCCAGCGCGCCGGAGGTCAGGGCGCCTCCGGCGAGGAGCATGTTGATGCTGGTGGGCTTCATGGTGATCGATGGTCAATTCTCAACGCTCGACGTGTCAGGGTCTTTGACAACGACGTGATTGATCACGGCTTTGGAGAGAGCGAATGTTGTCGGCGATGAGGAGCGCGGCGCTGCAGAAGAAGGTCCTGAATCATGACGGCGAATTGGCAAGGTTGTATTTAAGGACAATTGAGAATCACGGAGTCGAGTTGTTGTTCGATAGGATGCTCCCTCCCCTCTTGGCTATGACGCGCTGAGTCCAGCCAGCATCCCGGGCAATAGCGCATTGTAGAACAACCGGACGAAGTAATATCCAAAACTTCAATTTAATCGAGAAGGTGGCACCCGTGGTGATTGTGACAACGTGATGGGTATTGCGCTCGTGATGGGTGGAACATTCAGAGAAATCTCATTTCACTCTCACAACCCCCCTCACCGCCGCGGCCTTGTATCCAAATCGGTGAGTGTGTCGTCCGCCCCTAGTCTTATTGAAATGACAATGTAACACTACCGGGTGTTGCACATGGTCGTGTCGTTGGGTGCGGGGCAATCGTATTTAACGTCCCACGGGCATGATGCCGCCGCCAAGACACATAAGAGTCTTGTCCCTCATGAACGCGGCAGTGGTATCCGCGCTGCTGTACAATATTGATAGTCCATGACTCTGCGGCTTTCCTCGGGCTGCCGAATGAAGAGGCGGCGAAGACGTTGATCGTGCTCACTGTGTTTGCTAGCAACGACACTCGTTCGCGAGCGTGACTGCGCAACCATAGCTAAGGTGGCCTTGATGGAGGTATAATGAAACGTTCGTACTTCTTGATACCCAAGGCCCGTTGGCAAAGCTCGCTTGCAAGTCTGTTCTCTCTGCTCGTGACTAATGTCCTATTGGTATGTGCGTTGAAGTGCACGTGGATCCACGTGGAGAGTCTTTGCTCTTAGATTCGTGGTCGAAAGGATCTCCTTGCAAAGTTTATCTCATTACACTAAACGGGATTCCACACCGAAGGGCAGATTTGCCCCTACATGGTTTGTCGTTCTTCGAACGGGCATGCAAGACGGGGGGCACGTGTGTTCGATCTGTTTTGCCGAGTGCCGAGCTGCCCGATACGGAAGAAATGAACCGTCTCAACTATCACACGTATTTGCCGAAGATTGAATAACTCATAAACTTGGGATGATGTGTTCTTGCTTGAGGCCCAGTGGAACCTTCCGAGTTTGACCAAACCGAGGCCCGTCATGCCTTGCCAGGCTTTGTCACAAAACTCGGAAGGCATTCTTGGCGGAACGACGGTGTCGGACGATGGCCGTTTCCTCGACACGAGGAGCCCCGGCCGGCGACTTGGTTTCGGTGCTGGTTTGGGTTGGCCCGTATTGCACCGCCGCCGGGAAGAAGGGGTCCACCTCAGCCCTGGACCCCGGCGGCGTTTTGCGAGATGCAAGGGAATATGAAAGGTGTACCCGGCACGTTTTCGAACATCACCGGCTGTTGCTTAAAGTAAATAGTGAATTCCCATGTAGCCGGCCGTTTCGCTTCCTAATTCATCCAAGCCCAGGCCAAACGAAACCTGCTCGAGCCCATAGAGTTGGACCAGCCGCTGCGGCCGGGTCGGGAGGTATAGTATCACCCTTATCAGTCCTTGTTGTGCAGAAAGGCCCGAAACTCCATTTTTAGAACACTATCGTGAGGTAGAATTTTAGGTAAAAGGTAGTTGACTCATCCCCCATGGGTGAGGCCTGGAATAGAGAGGCATGGGAACAAAATAGCCACAGTGGAGAGATGAACATCCAATGGTTGCCGTGCTAACTCGGCCCACGAGTTGTAAATGTGGCCCCAAGAGAGCATGACGCCCTTTGTTCCTGGAGGTGTTTGGGGCTAAGGAAGTCTGTCGCCACGAGGCTTGGGATGCCACCGGATGGGTTTGTTGCTGGCTCTTAGTTGCTAGCGTCATCTTCATGGGTTCGTCGCCAGTGAACGCGCGCGCGCGCTTGATGAGCGCTATGGCTACTTATTTTGGGATGTTGGTTGTGATGCCAACCGTTTTGTTCTTATCATGACTCGACAATAGCGCGCGCGGATCGCCGTCATCTTTATGTGCAACCCTTTAGTCGTCACCAAGGTCATGTGTCATTGCCGCGATGAACAGATGGAGGCAAACAGTTCCCTGCAATGTATATTGCGCAGCATTTCCAGGCGAACCAGTACCTTGTAATGGGTGGGTGTAGGCTTGATGGGGAGGGGAGGCTCTGACTCGGTGCTTGTTTGGGAATATTGGTGCACGGCCCTGGTGGTGATCAGGAACTGCTGGACGGGCTTTGGGTCGGGAGGATTGAGCTCCGGGTCTCAGGATATGTCTTGGGCACCTCCATGCGGAAGGGGAGAGGGGCGAGTTTCGTGTGTTTAACGACCCATCCTGATATCTGATTTCCTCGTTGCATTCCATCTCGATACTTGATTATGCTCCGTGATGGACGTGGATGGATGGGATTGTCGTTCGTGCTATCGATCCTTACGTTTGAACTTGATTGCGTCTCTTAAGCTGTACAAGGTATTAGATGCTATTGGGCAATGTACGGAACCGCTCTTGAATCGGGTGCAAGCCTTTGCTACCCTGTCTTGTGAACATTGAGTCTAATTTGGAAGTTGAGCTCGTGATGCAAGTTCTGTGATGCCAATCCAAGCAAGAAGCTATCGCCGCTTACAAAGAGTGCGATACGGCGAAGAAAACCCGCGATCGTCAATGATCCATGAATACTTCCGTTTCAGAGTTTCCCTTTCCCCGGCAGAGTAGGACACGATGGGTAGTTGAATGCCACCGCGCTGTGTCTTTAGTGAGACACAGCAACATGAGAAGTTTTGTATCTTGGTAGGAATCTACCATTGTGCCGAGATTCGTCCATCTTTAATGGGTGACGTTGATGCTCACTGTGAAGCTTCGAACCGATTAACAAGAAGGTCTAGACCGACGTAACATCCGACCCAGACCCATGCGGAAGACTCCCCCGCGCCTGACAGCGGAATGCCGGCAAGGGAATGTTGCTCCTCTGTCCAACATGTGAGTACGTCCCATGTCAACCATTAAATGCTCTAGTGTGTGAGAACACCCACAGTGCTAAATTGTGCTGAAAGGTCGTGAAACGGAAGCCCAGAAGCGTGCTAGCGATGTTAAGCATGGTGAACGTTAGGGGCGTTCGGTATTTGCAAGATGTTGTAGTTTCCATTGCCCCCACCGCGTCTGGACCCTGAGTGCTGGGGGAGAGTTGACATGCCTGTCCATGCTTAAGCTGCTTGCGTGATACGCGTTGAGTTCAGTGCCATACCCTCGACGCTGTGGAACGAGGCTCGCCAAAGATCTTGTGGGCGGTTCTCCATTATCGCTCCAGTCGGCCCCTTGACAACAGGGAGCGACAAGATGCCCCTTCCAGTCCGATAAGCACCAGTCAGATTGTCCCCAGGAGCTGAGTGTGGGGAGCTACTCGAGCGCGGACTCCGTCTTCATGAGCCCGGTGACATATTATCATTACCGCTCGATAATGTAGGATGCCTTCAGGTCAGGGAACAGAGGAAATCGACGATCCGGAATGGAGGACTAAGAGGCGGCCGGGATATGGTTGAATGGAGGGCTTTTGCGCAGACCTGAGGCGTGCAGTGCATATGCAAAGACGTGGGGACGTGAAGGAAATGCATATATCGAGGTGTGGGTCAGCAGGGATGGACCGTTGACAACGGCTTTTGGGGTTCTCCCTGCAAAAAAGAAAAAGAGGGCATCCTACAGGTATCGAGATAGTTCGACGGGATCAAAGCTCCTGCCCACCACCCCCAATTATTGGAAGAACCCGCTCTCCATGACACATATCCCAATCAAGCCCAAGAGTTTGTGGTTTCTTCTTGCTCCTTTGTTTGTCTGATTATGCGGCATCTCTGGAGTCGCTCGTGCGGCAAGACATGGGCAGGGGCTTGATCACAATACGATATTTCATTGTTTTCATCGTCTTGCGTGCGGTTGCGAAGGAAACCATGAATAGCAGGCATTGCGTGGTTCCAGTCCGGAAGAACCCAGTAGCGAGTCGCGATAGGTTACAGCGTTCATTGTCTCGTCGTGGAGATTCGAGGGAGAAAGGGATTGTTCGGGGATGAAGCCCTCAGAGTTGTCAGTCCGTACTGGAGGCCTATGGTCCGTGTGCGTCTGAACTCTCGGAGAAGGCGAGCGAGAAGGAGTCGAGTTGAGTCGAGTTTAGATTTCCCCTCTTACCAAACATTGCTGCTTCCAGAACGTGTCGTAAATGTGCCGTAGGACCAAATCTTAAAACCTTAAGACCGTTCAACCTTGACTAGATGATGGTTGCGGTCGCTAGTTACCTGGTATCGGAACGGACGTGGCGTCGGAGTATGGTCCGCCCTCTCACTCGCCGGATCTACGTTGCCCGATGACCGGACTGCCTCGTTCACTGACTTGAGCCCAGTTTATATGGGTGTAGTTTGACCAGTACAAACAGCACGCATAAGTATCAGCCGTCATTGTGTCTTTGAATCATTGGTGTTCAGGCCTCCCCCCCCCCCCCCCTATGCCCGCATCTCATATCACGGCCATCCCACCAGAAGCGTTTCACGAATCACGCAATACCAGTGGACTTCGGCCACTTAGGGTTGCGTGTCTCCTACATAGGTAGCACGATCCCGTGTCTGTGCGCTCAAGGATCACAAGATTCAGTGACTGCTGGCATCCCCGAAAATGACCCTCGGCTTTGACCTGCTTGCGTTCCCCCTCTTTCGGCTCTCTGGAAGGTTTCAGGAACACGGTACCATAATCGCGTCATCAAATCCACGTAACAATCCTGAACAGATAGCATCCAATAATCGCTTGTCACTTACCTACCTTCCTCGCCTTGTTCCCTTGCGTCGCTTGACAATGCGGGGCAGGCGTACCATCACAGAGCTGAAGTGGACGCGCGGGGTTCCTCTAAGCTTCAGCTGTCAATGCGGGTAGAGCGCGCAGTTTCCGTTTACTAGGGAGCAAAATCGG